AATCTGAAGGCGAGAAGCCAGCTGAAAAAATAACTTAATTAAAAACGTCATTTCTTATCCTTTAATTCCTGTATAATGCTGCAGTGCCAAGATATTGCTGTGATGCTGTCGTTTCAAATGCATTTCTCCACCCTGCCTAACTGGCTGAATCGCATTATTGTAAAGTTCTTCATTCACGGAAATCTGACAATCACATTGAAATGTTTCCATAACTGCTTCATTAAAAACACAAAATGTGACTTAACCTGATAAATGTGCAATGGACAGGGCTGGGCTCGCACACGACCTAGACTATGGGGACAGTGAAAGCCCTTAAAAGGATATGAAGAAAAGAAAGGTGCCTTTTAAACAGCATATCAAATTAACAATTAAGCCGTGGCTTTGACAGAGGGGATGCAGGGAGCTACAGCAGGCAATTAATCAGCAAGTACTGCGCAATTGTGCCTTTTTGTGACTATTGTAGCTCAGTTTGTTACTGTGAAAATCATTGTGAAAAAGAGAATACATTAAATCTAAATCACAGGAGAAAAAAATTATACGCTTCATTAAAGATGTCAGTTCTTCCCCAGAATCCACTCCCTCTCCACCACCCCCCACACATCCTCTTTAACAAAGTCTGGAAAACAAACATTTAAAGAATGACTGGGTAAAGGCACATGTAGGAGATACACACAAAACCACACAGGCTAGCAAGGGGACGTAAAGTTACTGCAAAAAACAGTGAGGGAGGACACAGACATTTATCCTATCACACGGAAATAAGTTGATATGTTCTCTGCGCAGCACAAATCATTTTGCAATGTAAGGGGAAATATTTATAAAGAATGGGGACTCAACTCTTGGTCAGTTTTGCTGATCATCTAGGACAGCAAAGCTCAAAATAACAATAAAGTACCAGCATGTTATTTGTTAGGTTTCAGGACAACGTTCTGTAGTTCAAGCTGTGTCTCACACAGACTACAAGTCTTTTAAGGCTTCTATCAATTCAACAAAAAGGACAATTGATCTAGGCTAAACTAGGCTTTAGCTGTGAAAAACAGACATTCCTTGGAGCCGCAATTTGTTGTTACTCTTTATTCCCCAGCAACCCAACCATGTCCTTCCTGGTCATGGAGCAACCGCAAAAACCAACATTTACTTTAGAATGCCGTGCAGCTTATTTAAACAGATTTTCCAAAATTCCCTCAAAAATGTCAATTCGTTACAATCCTATTTTGAAACATATGTTGGCAGCTGAAGGCGGGACTAACGAGAAGTTAAAGGGAGGTTCAACCAATGGCATTTTATTTGTGGTATTATTAGTAAAGTAAAAATCCCTCGTTGTCCTAAAGCATGTCAGTTTTGACAACCACATACATCAGTCTGGAGATTCTTCCCAAAAAAATCCTCAATTTTGGAATTTTCCAAAATTACTGATTTTGTTTTGCACTATTAATCATATGGTTTTTGCTGAACAGAATGAGAAGCCGGATCTGTCAAAATCTCAGTAGTTGAGAAAGGCTGGAAATAGTTGGTACTGGGACAGGAGTCCAGGTTGAGAATAGTCAGTCCTGGGACAGGAGTCCAGGCTGGGAATAGTCAGTCTGGGACAGGAGTCCTCGATAATTTTCTGTTGTAAGGGCTAACAGAGGAGCAGAGTGTGGAAAAGTTAACTATGGGCTAGAATTTACCAATATGGTAGTTCAGGTGGGTAGCTGCGTCAGCATGCATAGGCTGCAAAGGAACAAGTAATAGGTTTATTCCATGCTGAAAAGAGAAGAAAGAAAACAAAACGTTTCAGCCGTGGAGCCTTCTTCAGGTTGTGACCAGGGACACGGCACCACTCTAGAAGGTGCCACACCGTTGAAGAGATGTTAATGCCAAATGCCCAACTAATTTGGCATTAAAGATTGCATGGCACTTTCCAAAAGAGGGGTGTTAACTTTGATATCCTGGCAAACTCCACTCTGAACCTGCACAATCTGATTTACCTACAGCTCTCTCTTAATTCATTTGGTGAAGCAATTTCTCACCTCCCTGTCTGATCTGTTGTATTTGTTCTGCTGGCGCATAATGGCCACCGTGTTTCACTCAGAGCTGCTACACTTCAGTGGTGACTGCACTTTGGGATCTCTTGGAATTAAAGGCACTATATAAATACCACAGTTTATTGCTTACAGATTAATGAAAAAAGACAGGAAACACAATTCTATGGTTGAATTTTATGCTGTTACTGAGATTTTTCTATACAATACCCTGTAGTAGTATAATCAGTCTTTATAGCAAAGAACTAAGAAAGGGCTTCACTTTTCTTCCACAACTTTAAGCCCAGTTTTGGGTTTTGCAGCAGAACTAAATAAGGAATGAGGATTAAAACTGTTATCTAGTCAGCTGCTGTTCTTAGCAGCACACTGTGATCTACCTTTATCATTAGGAAGCTGCCTCGAGTTATTGAATGGTACTAAGCAAAAATACTTGGTTTAAGCATAGTGCAGAACTGGGTCACAGACTTCCTCCTGAGACCTCACTCATATGTTTCCTTCACTTCTACTGTAGCAGCAGAGGAGTAGCTGTGACCCATTTTTGCCAACTTAAACCCCCCTCCCACATTCCCTAAGGGGAAGAGAACAAACTCACTAAACCTTAAGTACTCATTTAGTTAGTCATTTATTTATATCACAGACCTTCACTGGGTCCATTGAGCAAACTTCAGGTTGTTCCTAAGAATTCCCAGGACATTGAGCAAACATAGTACTTACTGCAATGAAAATTAAAATCACAAGAATCACATACTGTATGTACTCCTTTCAAATGCCAACTAAAATGGTAGCACACAATGGGAAATATAAAATATGGGATTTTCCTCAGATAATAGGCATATACTTTGCTAACCATCTTTATAAGTTATTTGAGAGCCCACAGATGCTACTGAGCAGATCTTAGTTTAGGTTACAAACATTGAAAAGCAATAACTGTAGAACATTTGTGAACCTGTGTCTTTGTTTATATTTAAAGACAATTTAAAACGAGGCAGAAAAATAGTTGGACTTGCTGTATAACCACACAATGTAAAACGAAAGTATTCATCAGGAACAATGAGATTCACACGAAGTATATATTCAGTGTACATTGCTAGCACTCTTGCACAATCAAAAAACAAAAAGATAGTCTTCCATGCCTAATTATATAGGCATATGAAGTATTTGTCACCAGAAACAGGGAGCTGTTTCAAATACACAATAGAACAATTAAAATAATGCACAAAATAGCATCACTGCTCCCCAGTAGGCTTTAAACCTTGCAAAAAAATAACTGGGAGCTACTGAAAAGTTACACGTGAAGAAACCTCTCTGCTTTTTGTTTGAAAAAGTTCTAGACTCTTTAAAACCAGATACTCAACTTTTTCTCCTAGTTAAAGGAGGGTTAGTTTATCAGTGTGTCTTAACACCTTAGCGAAAAATTTTACACCCTTCATAGAGTGAATTTATGCCACAGTAATAATCCTTGCTTTTACCTTAAGATTTTATTTGCTTTTCAAAGTTACATTGACAATCTCATATATAGCATATATATTATCCATACATAAATCTGGCTGAAATACAGTTACCACTAAGAATCCATAATGTATTGCTCACAAGAGACTGGAAGACTCTGCGCCTTACTGGTAGTCAACAATAAAGGATTTTTTATCAATACATCACTTTTGCAAAACGCAGCAAACATGCAAAACACAACACTTTAATTTAAGTTAATTTAAAAAACAGCAAAACAGGAGCGTATTATAAGTTCTGCCTGCATAATAAAATAAAAGTTAAAAATCAGTTCATTACAGGGGTGCTTTGTGTGCAGTTCAGTCTCAAAGCCTGAAACACTGGCAAATAACAGAGCAGGATTGCTTACACCTCCTTCAGGAGGATTACAGCTATGGTGCCATTTGTAAACCATCTGAAAACACACAATATACTCTAACACAGGGAATAAATGCAAAAAAAAAACAAGAAAACTGATAAAATCTTACCCCAGAGTGGAACTAGACAAGCCCGCTCCTAACTGACCACTCACAGAAATTCCAAAACCCCAACAAGGGAGATTTCACACTCCATTCCAATTGTTTCCGACTCCCTGCTTTGAACTCCGGGCAGGCTGCCTTGCCTGTGAGGATGAGCCCAGGAACCAGGGAGAGGGGTGTGTGTGTGTTTTTGTGTTCCCTCCTTCTTTCCTCTCTCTCTCTAATTCCGCCTCCCCAGACAGAGAACTCCGGCAGCCAGCAAGAATGTCTGCTCTATTCCTTTAAGCCCTGGGACCTCCCCTGTCTCTCTTTTAATTGCCTGCACACAGCCCTGTGGGAAGCATCACATTCACACACACACATACTCCCCTCCCCACACACCTAAAAAAAAAAGTCCAGCCCCACACTCTGATTGTAGAGGCTAAGAAGCTGCTTCAGGATGCCAGCCTCACTGTATGAAAAAAAAGCAACAACAACATCATTTTTGGCTTCATTTCTAACAGCAAGAGCGTGGGAAAGGAATATTACATCACCCATGACTAAAAATTGTCTGCTGCTGTGGCAAAAATAAGAAAGCTAAGCAACTGCTTTTTAAGGTGTTTTTATATGCATTTGTAGTAATGGAAAGAGTACTACTACTGATAGAAATGTTTATTTTGTCAAACAATTTTGTGGTGGCTCTGCTGTATTTCAAAATAGAAACTCAATGACTGAGGCACTGTTGTCATAGCACCTCTCCTGCGCTGATGTAGTTCTACGTCACACATGACACCTTTTCAGGCTGATTTTAAGACCCTGAATAGTAGGGAACATTACATCCATAAAAAGGGCAGCTATACAAAATCAAGTATTTTAAGCTACAGACGAGTTATTCTTGCTCGTATTTTGTGTAATATGAAGGAAACAACAACGATAACAAAATGTAGAGCAGAATTCAGCTGCATGGCAATGAGATTCTCAAGAACAGTCAACATGGATTTAGGGAACGCAGGTCTTGCTTATCTTGTTAGAGATCTATGCACAAGGAATACCAATAATGGATACAAAAGAAGGCTCTAGCAATGTTTAATTCTTAATCTGTATTTGGCAATTGCAGAATTAAGCAGTATTCTGCAGTTTTAAATAAAACACAGCAGGCATTCAAGGTAATGCATGCTTTTGGAGTAACATCAAAGAGTACAGATAGGTGGAAAATGCTCAGATTGGGGTGATGTTACTATTCAAGTACCAAAGATATCTGTTTTAGGACCACAGCTGTTACTAATTTACATCAATGATCTAGATTCTGGTGTAGCTAGTATGCCATCCATTCATTTTCTAACCACTCCAATGATGTCAAAAATGGAAGGATTGGCAAACACTGAAGAAGCTGAAATGGAAATTCAGGAAAATTTAAATAAAATTCAAGACAGGGCCAATACCTGGCACATTACATTTAACATAGACAAGTGCAGAATGATACACACAGGCAGCAGAAGTGACCTATAAATGGAAGTTCAGGAACAGTCATTTTGTAGAAGCTGTTTGTGAGGAGTTTCCTTAGCTTTAGAGTTTGGGTTTACACATCATTGTCATCTTTTAGACAACGTGGGGAAGCCATGAAAGACGAGACCACAAACAGGGGAGAATTAGGAAGTCTGGGTGACTCCTCTGACCTGCCGATTGGAGGAGAGGAGCATCCCTCACTGACTACAGCACGCGCCTGTAAGCACCAAGGAGGCCACAGGCCTAACAGCATCCAGAGAGCCATGACCAAAAAAACCCATCCTATCCTCCACAGCGCTATTTGGGGAATCCAAGTCACAGCTGGCTAGGTATGTAACCCAGGATCCATAATCTTGGAGCTCTACCCAATCTCAGGCAAGTGCCTTTTAGAAGTTAAATTATTTGTAAAGCAGAATTTGATGTTTATTTTAATAAAATCAGTCCAGAGAAAGGTGACCATATACATTTCCTGGTTTAAAGGCATGTCCTACTAATGAGAGCCGGAGGCACAACTTTACACAAAGGGTTGTGGGAGTCTGGAACAAGCAAAGTCAGCAAAATTGTGCAAGCTGAAAAAACACCCTGGCTTCTCCTTTCAAGAAACCGCTGAATGAGATCCTCAGATCACTCGGCTACCAGAAACAGTATGAGTCAGAAAGGCTGAATGGCCTCTGATTTGTAACCTGATGTTCTTTTCAAACGGCCCATTAAAATACATATTTCAACAGCCCTGTATAAATAACAGATTGTTACAGAATTCCCATCTTAAAGTATTAAGTCAAACACCAAAAAAGTTTTACTAAAGAAGCTTAAAATTTCTCCTCCCTACTTTAAGTATCTATGCTAAGACTTGTCATGAAGGAAAAAAACTCAACTAAGAATCTAACTGAGCTTTTATCTTCATTACACAGAACCCTTCATCAAAAACAAAACATTTGTTTGCACCAGCCTGTCTTTCAATTAAAGATAAAGAAAATACCGGAAACATCAATAGTACCTGATGTACCATGGAACATTTAAAATCAATATGAACTGTTCAACAGGATTTCAAATATTTGTCCATTCAACAGAAACAAAAACTTTTCAGCAGATTCTGACTGCTTGAGATGGCATAGAGACTGCTTGAGATGGCAATAGAGACTCTTTCATTTTGCTTTTACTCCGTCAAATAAAAACCCAAAGTAGAAGTGGCAGTTTTCTCATTTTGCTCCCTGAACATATCTCTCACCAGCAAAATATGACATTAAAAAATAAAATATTTTGAAGGCTATCCCAAAATTGTTTCTAATTAAAAGTACAAGAGTATACCATCACTAAAAGATTTTAAGATTTGGCATTATGTCCCGTATACAGTACTCACATGTTCCTAGCAGTGTTAAAAATAAAAAACTAGTCACTAATTAGAATCACTAATGCGACATCATAAAACTTTGGATTCCAAAACTTAAGACAGCATCAAACATTGGAGACATAGAAATGAGCTGTATTGGCCCCTCAGTCAATTACTGTAGTACCAAAAAATGCAAAGCTACTACTCTGAAGGATATTTTAAAGGTAACTGAAGTTACAACTGAATTTTTACTGTGGTTGCAGATTTAACAGCTGCCATCCCCACCCACCCCCCAGTACATTACAAAAGCAAGCTTTGTAGACAAACCTGTTAAGGAAGAAGATGCGAAAGGATTCTTATGCAAAGGTACAGAAGGCAAGCTACAACAGAGCTACTGCGGACAGGAATGACACTGAACACCCCAGCAGGCAGAAACATTAGCACAATGGTTACACAAAAGAGAGGAACACCTTTGCGCCTGAAGGCTTTTGTGAATTCCACAGTCTGCGCAAACAATAGAGCCTTCTCCTTTTCTCCTTCTCTGGGCCCGTCGTGCCATTTGAATGTCCAGTGGTGGACACTGAATAATGCGCAAAGACATCCTAGAATTAACCCTTAAAAAACGATTTCTTCATTACAATGCACGTTACTGATAGCAACATTACTTGCAGATCCACCATCCTTTTCATAATCAACAACCCCAAGACATTCATGTGTTTACCCTAAAGGGATTCCTCAATTTCTTAGGCCCACTAAACCATGTTTTCCAAACAACTGCGTTACCTATACAAGCATTTTAACATTACAATAACTTTTTAAAATCTGATACCACATCCAAACTATAAAAAATAAAACATAATATCTCCGATGGACAGAACTGCTTTAAAAGTACTGGGATATATAACAGCGAAAAAAAAAATCACAAAAAAATTAAATTAATTTGAGAGTTCCTTAAATGTATTTAAATGGCAGCTGACTCTCATTGCCAAATAAATTCCATGCACTGTTGATTTTTAATGGAGTTAGCCAACCATCATTGAAAGTTACTTTAATGATTAGGCAATGATAATCCCATAAACTGTTGTGCCTGTTATTATTATTGTAAAAATCACAATAATAAACCATTCCAAACAAGAGAAAACACGGAGTCCAGATTTCATTAGTTTAATTGCACAGAAATACACAAAATAGATCTGCATTTAGGCAGCTATAAATAGCAAAAAAGATAGTTATTTGTCTAAGGATAAAAGAATAACGAATTGACCACAGAATAATTTGAATCTTACTCACAGGTTTTTTTTGTAACTAAAAAATGACAATATTTATATGTATTTAAGTTTTTTCACAGGGAAGCTTTTACTACTAATCCTGCATGGGACAATATAAAAAAAACTTTTACCACATAACACTTTCTTTCTTCATGTGATTTTTATCATCATTTTTTTCATGTACATGTACTTATTAGTCTAGCAAATATTTAACGTATATAATTATCATAATTATATGAGTCTACAAACCTCTATTATTGTAATTATTAACCTTTTCTAAAAATATTTATTTTTACTACTATTCAGAAATTGAAACATGCTTTTAAGTGTGCTTGCACTGCTTATTCTGATTGTTTATAATAAAAAGACAGAAACAAGCCTAACTGACATCTCTTTGAGGGATCCTGCAAAGGGTAATATTAGTTACCGCAATCATTATTATTGCCAGCATCTGAATTATGTGAAGAGGCCGGATACATAATTAATACTTCATTGCATTCATTTAGCACTCTTCATCATAAATTTCCCTACGGGATTAATAAAATATTATCTATCTATCTAAAGGGTCCCAAAACACTTCATACACCACTGAAGTAGCGCACACCTGGGTAACGTGTAGCTGCCATTCTACAACACAGCAGATAAAGTGGAAAAGTGAGGAAAACCCCATTAACTGTACAACAGTGGAAATTCAGGGAGGCCAATCTAGGCATGAACCTAGCCAGGACATTAGGGCTGGTTTTCCTTACTCTTATGAACAGAGCCATGGGGACTTTCATAGTCAGTCTGGAGCTGGTTTATCACATTCAAAGAAAAAAAAAAACCTCTTACAACACAGTATCCCCAGCCACCATATTTGAGCACTGGTTTAGGAAAATGTACTACAGAGAGAAAAGTGCCACCTACTGTTTCACCAAGACCATTTACAGCAGCAGGTTTGTTTTCGAGAAGCAGGGGTTTCAATCTTGATCCAAGAGGGCAAATACATCTGCTAATGTTAATTGCAGCTGAGTTCTTTCTTTTCTTAAATCCTTAATTGAGCCAACAAGCTGCTTAGGTTAAAAGCTTTGCAAGTTTGTTTTCTACTAGGTTAGACATTTTTAGCTACTTAAATCCAATAGTTCAAAGGCACCTCCTAAACATTAAGGAACTGAAAACA